AGCTACAGAGATTATGACTCTGTGGTTCAGAATTGGTTGCACCATACTGTGGCAGCTACAGGTGATCCACAGAGCGTCATACTGACCAATCTGAAGCCTTCAACCAGGTATGAAGTAACGATTCAGGCCAGAACAAATGCGGGACTAGGCCCTGCTTCCACCGCACCTCTCTGCTCCACTCTGGATGAAGGTATGCTGAGAAACTAGAGATAAATTAATATTCCTCTGCTTCTTTTATGATTTTTCTTTCACTATTTCTATTTTACTTTCAAACTGTCACAACCGGGGAGCAGATATGTTTTTGACTGAATCAACATTTTAAATTAGGCTGAATTACTTAACATGGAAGAATTTTAATCATGCATTAATAAGCAGGATGCACTCACACTTAGTGACTGAATCTCCTACCTGTGTTCCTCTTAGTGCCTCCAGATCCACCTGTAATTGAGTTAGAGGATGTGACCAGCAACAAAATCTTCCTTTACTGGACTCCTGGTTTTCAAGGCGACAGCCCTATCACAGGTTTCTACCTGGATTATAAAGCAGCAAATGGTGAGAATAGTCCATTGGACTGAAAGTAAAAGTAAAGTAAAATGTAAATTCTTGTAGATCTGAAATGTTTAAAGGATGGAATGTGATAAATAACAAAAAAAGTATGGGGAGTGGTGCCCTGGGGCACAGAGCTTGGAATCCTGAGGTTCTGAGTTCGAGCCCCACTCCTGCCACTCTGGGTCTCTGAGCAAGACCCTTAACCCCACACTGCAGCCCACTGCTCCCCAAGGGGATTGGTTAAATGCAGAGGTAAATTTCTCCAATGTGAGATCACCAAAGTTCAGTTAGTATTATTATTGATAAAAAAAATACATTGAATTTTTGAGGACAAGATATGGTTATTCAAAAACACCTGCCTTATTTACTGAGATCGCCTTTGAGTCTAAGGGTGATTGAGGTCCCAAAATACACAAAAACATATGATTATAAAATACAGTACTTTGTGTAATTTTAACAGTGCATCATTTATTAAGAATGAATATTTGAAACTATTACATTTTTAACTTAACTTTTATTTCAATTACAGATTCATGGACTAGTGCTGTAAGAAGTTGGGTTACAGGGACTCGTACCAGTGTGGCTGATTTGCATCCTGCAACGACGTACGACTTCCGCCTGTTTGCTGTTAGCAATGTGGGAATGAGCAAAGCCAGCAATGTTCTGTCGTTTGCTACAAATGAAGCAGGTAAAATCATCCATGGACATTATTGTGCAGTGTCTAGCAAACCTTTTTTACAGTTTATCGCAATTAAGCCATTTGAACACATTTATCAGAATCAGAAATACTTTGATAATCCCAGAGGGAAATTACTTAACTTATACCAAGTTCTTCCAGCTATTTACGTATAGACAATTATTTGCCCTTTTTGCAAAACAACACAAGCTCTCTCACAATGACTGCAGAGCCTCCGTAAACAATGGTATAAACTTCTGCAAAGATAACATCTGAATTGAATTTAGACTTCAATAGAGTTTATTTATTTGATGTTTACACTTTAAAACACACCTTCCTATTGTGGCTATGTTGCAAGATTTGGTGGTTTTCAAGCTAAATGGAGAACGTTTGCCCTGCTCTACAGTATTTTTGCATACTGATAGTGTTTACGTCCAGAATTGTTCCTATTTAGCTTTTATTTCCCTTCAAGAAATGGATCCCCACAGCATTATACTGTCAGTGTCATGTTCTACTATAGGGATGCTGTGTTCAGTTTGATCAGTTGGTTTATTTTCTGTAGACAAATTCTTTTGACATATCCTCTTATTGTCCTATCAGAGCAATGTTTCACTGCTTATCTTCCACAGTTACCACAGACATTTTGGCTGCCTCCTTGGGTTTAATTGACAAAAATATAAATTTGGTGTTGGTTATCATGTAGAACTGACACAAAATGCATTGCTGACTGTGGTCTCAACTTGAAAAAAGATAGAAAAAAAGTTTAAGGGGAACTTCTGTAACGTAAAAAGCTCAACATTTTTTAGAAAAGTTCTCCAATGAGTCTTTTTTTTTTCTTCAGCACCTGAGGGCCCACCCCTTGATATGCAGCTTCAAGCTCTAAGTCCTCAGAGTATCAAAGTGACCTGGAGGGTAGAGTCACACACTTGAAATT